GAAAGGAAGAGGGTTTTCTTTTCTTTTTTAAAATATTTTATTTATTTGGAGAGAGAGAGCAGGAGGGAGGGGCAAAGAGAGAGGGAGAGTAAGAAATCTCAAGCAGACTCCTCACTGAGTCTGCAGCCTGACGCGGGGTTTGAGTCCATGACCCTGAGATCATGACCTGAGCCAAACCAGCTGGATGCTCAACCAACTGAGCCATCCAGGAGCCCCATATTTGTTTGTCTATTTGTTTTTCTTTGTTTTTTTTTTAAGATTTTATTATTTATTTGACAGAGAGAGAGAGAGATCACAAGTAGGCAGAGAGGAAGGCAGAGAGAGAGGGGGAAGCAGGCTCTGCACTGAGTAGAGAGCCCAATGCGGGGTTCGATCCCAGGACCCTGAGACCATGACCTGAGCCGATGGCAGAGGGTTAACCCACTGAGCCACGCAGGCACCCCTGTTTGTTTGTTTTCTATCGTAATCTTTACACCCAACCTGGGGCTCGAACTCACAACCCCAAGGTCAAGAGTCACACACTCTTCCAACTGAACCATCCAGACGTCCCCACATATATGTACATTTTAAAATAAACTCTTAAATTCCATGAAAAAGTCTTTTGATTTAGATTGAAATTTTAGGTCAATTTGCAGGAGAGCTGAGATTTCCTGCCAGAAACGCACGAGGTACCAGTATCTCCACATCCTTGCTAACACTTGTCATGGTTGCTCTTTTTGTGTCTTTTCTATTGTAACCATCCTAACAAGTGTGAAGCGATCTCCTTGTGGTTTGGATTTGCATCTCCTTCATGTACCTATTGGCCATTTCTTCTCTGAAGAAATTTCTGTTCAATTCCTTTGCCATTTTTGAATTGTGTTGTCTTTTGAATTGAGTTTTAAGAATTCTTTTTATATGCTAGATACAAGTCTTTTATCAAATATATGATTTGCAAACATTTTTTTTCTTATTCTGTGAGTTGTCTCTTCAATTTCCTGATGGTTTCTTTTGAAGCACAAAAATTTTAAATTTTCATGATGTCCAATTTATCTGGTTTTCCTTACATTGCTGTGCTTTTGTTGTCATATCCAAGAAACCATTATCTAACCCAAGGTCATGAAGATTTATGCCTGATTTTTTTTTTTTCTAAGACTTTCATAGTTTTAGGTCTTACATTTAGGCCTTTGATCCATTTTGAGCTAATTTTTGGTATATGGCATGAGGTAGGGTTCCCAGCACCATTTGCTGACAAAACTAATTCTCCCCCACTGCATCATGTTGGCACCCTTGTTGATAATCAGTTGACTATAAATATTTGTGTTTATTTCTGGACTTTTAATTCTACTCCATTGCTTTATTTGTCTATCCTCTTATCAGTACTATATAATCTTGACTATTGTGGCTTGGTACTAAGTTTTAAAATCAGGAGGTATGAGTACTCCAGCCTTCTTCTTCCTCTTCAAGAGCGTTTTCTCTATTCTGGGTCTCATGCATTTGCAGACGAATTTGAAGATCACCTCGTCAATTTTTGCACTGAAGGCAACAGGGATTTTGACAGGGACTAGCTGAATTTTTAGATCAATTTTGAGGACTATGCCATCTAACAATATTAAGTCCTATAATCCATACATATGAGATGTTTCTCAATTTATTTAGATGTTTAATTTCTATCAATAATATTTTGTAAAAAATAATAATAATATTTTGTAATATTCAGTGTACCAGTCTTACACTTCTCTTGTTCAGTTTATTTATAAGGATTTTATTCTTTTTGGTGCATTGTGAATGGAATTTTGTTGATCTCATTTGTGGATTGTTCATTGCTAGTGAATAAAACTACAATTGATTTTTGCACATTGGTTTCTATCCTGCAAACTTGAGGAACTCATTTACTAACTCTAACAGTTTTTTGATGGATTCCTTAGGATTTTCTACATACAAGATCCTGTCATTTGCAAATAGAGATACTTTTATTTCTTCCTTTCCAACTAGATGGTTTTTATTTATTTTCTTGTCTAAATACCCTGACTAAAACTTTCAGTATAATACCGAATAGAAGCGACAAGTGTGGACATTTTTTTCTTGTATCCAGTCTTAGAGGGAAAGCGCTCAGTCTCTTACCATTATTGTAATGTTAGCTTGCATTTTTCATACATGCCATTTATACGGTTCAGGAAGTCCTAACAGATTTCTGGCTTTGGTTTTTTTTTTTTTTTAAAGATTTTATTGATTTGAGGGACACCTGGATAGCTCAGTGGGTTAAGCCTCTGCCTTCAGCTCAGGTCATAATCTCAAGGCCATGGGATGGAGCCCCGCATCTGGCCCTCTGCTTAGCAGGGAGCCTGCTTCCCCACCCCCCACCTGCCTCTCTGCCTACTTGTTCTCTTTCTGTGTGTGTCAAATAAATAAATTTAAAAAAATTTTTTTTAAGATTTTATTTATTTGAGTGAGAGACAGAGTGCGGATGGCGGAGAGGCAGAGGGAGAGGGAGAAGCAGACTCCCTGCTGAGCTGGGAGCATGACTCCAGGCTCTATCCCAGGACCCTGAGATCATAACTTGAGCCGAGGTCAGATGCTTAACCAACTGAGCCACTCAGGTGCCCTCCATTGGGCTCCTTGCTCAGTGGGGAGTCTGCTTTTCCCTCTCCCTCTGCCCCTCCCCCCAGCTCATTCAATAACAGAGGTGCTAGGGTGATCCTTTTAGACCTACGTAGAGGGCACGCCACCTCTACTCAGCATCCCCCAATGGCTCCTCCTGTCATTCAGAGTAAAAGCCAAAGTCCTTATAATGGCTAATGCCATCTGGTTCTTCCTCCTCCCACTTACCCTTTTGCTATTTCCACTCCAGCCGTACTCGCCTCCTCCCAACAACCCGGGACAGGTCCACTCTTCACCAGCTGTGACTCTTTACCCAGGGGTCCCTTTGGCTCATGCCCCTTCCTCCTTCAAGTCTTTGTTTAGCTTCTCACTTACACTGCAACCTGCTTCAAGAACCCCCACCACACTCCTGATCCCCTTCATTCCCCTCTTTTTTTGCCTACAGCTCTTATTACCTACTTATTACCTCCCAACACAGTAGCAAATTCCCTTATATCATGTATCTGATTTAGCATCCATCACACCCACCAGGGTAAAACTTCACAAAGGCAGAGATTGTCATTTTGTTCACTGATATCCTGAGTTCCTAGAACAGGCTGCATCCGACAGGTTTGCAGACAACTGAATAAATGATTTAATTACCAGTTTGGGTGTGGGGACAGATGGGAAAGGGAGAGGGTGAACAAGATGCCCAGGTTTCTGAAGCCAGGGCAGGGGTGGAGGACTACGAACACCAAAATTAAAAAAAAAAAAAAAAAAAAAAGATATTTCAGCTGGAGACCAGACCTGGGAGTCATCAGCACCTGGGTGGGAGTATGGAGTCCACAGGAGCAGAGGGCATTATGTAGAGAAAACAGACAGAAGGGACCAATATGGACACCAATATCTAGGACAGACGAGATAGGAGAGAGGAGAGGGTCGGATGCACAGCCAGAAAGAAAAGCAGAGGCCTGTGGGATCACAGAATCTCAGGTATGAGACTTCTTGGGAGAGAGGTCGAGTCAGGCAAGAAGGGAAAGTTGACCGCTGGATGCAGTCACCAGAAAGTAACACATGGCCTTGTTGGGGAGCCAACTCTGTAACAGGTTACAGGCTAAACTTGTCAGGCCAATTCAGGAGGTGATGAAGGTGGCTGAGGCCAACAGGATGGGAATTTAGCGTCAGACAGACCCCAACGCCAATCCGGGAACAGGTCTTGTTAAACCTCTGAACCTCCATTAAGAATGGAGAATGGCACCTCGTAGCCCATACGCTTTGGTGACTGATTGCTACACGAGACAGAAGAAATGCAAGATACAAATTGGGTGTACTGGCTTCATTCTGTCAATGAGCAGACTGGCTTGGCTGTGATTGAAACACAAACTGAAATAATGCGCAGCCCAAGATCCGTGGTAGCTGCGGTTACGGCCGGGGAGCGGACAATACAAGGCAGAGCTGTACGCACAGGGAAACTGAAGTCGAACCCTTTGCATAGAACACTCTTCCAAATCAGCCGGTGTTAAAGATCTGCCTTCTTAGTCCTAGACACAACAGCTTGCGCCTCTCTTTTGTGGCGCAGCAAACGTTCCCCTTGGGCAGACACAGATCACCCGCTCACGGACTGTGCACCCCTCCACCCCACCCCTCCCAGCCAGCTGTCCGCCCACCCGGCTTGGACCTAGACCTAGGCAACGCTGCCTTTAGTACCTAGCAACCACTCACCTGCTACGCTCTCTCCATAGGCCGGCCAGTCTCCTTCCTTTTTCTTATTGGTCCGCGTAACTCTATCTCGGCCAATTAGCAGCAGCCAAGGGGACCCAACACACTCCCACACAATTTGGGGGTGATCATGGAGGAGCAAGTTTTTCTTTTCTGAACCTAGTTCTCCAGGAAAGCATCTGATTTGCTGTGAAATCTTCTGGAGTGAGACTCTAAGACATTTTATTTCTCTTAAGCCCGTAATGTCTGTCCCTGGCACACTCCCCCCCCTCCAAATGGTACGGCCCGCACAAAGCCCCACCTTCCTCCCCTCCCTGAGAGCCCGAGTCCTCCTCTAGGTTGAGTCCACTCAGAGACGGAGACGATACCATCTGGGACTAACAGTCGGGGGGACTCCAGCCACCTGCCGGGCTGCCCTATTCCTCTGCGACCACCTCTCGCATCTCTTGCTCCGGCCGTGGGCGCGACGCCTGGGTACAGTGGTGGGACCACCGCTGTCGGCCCCACGGAGGGTGCACGTTGCGGCCAACGGAAGGGTGCACTTGGTACGACCCACTCGGCGCCACGCCGGAAGTGAGGTGTCTCACTCCCGAAGTTCCGGCTCGTAGGGGGTGGGCTGTGTTGTTAACCGGGGCCGCCTCCGCAGTCGCGGGGATCGAGCTGGCTCGCGGAGGTGGGCTCCTGGTGAGTCGGCCGGGATCGGGCCCGGGTTGTGGTTGGGAGTCGGGACCTGGGCCCTCCCCTTGAGGGCTCCGGGGTCGGCGCGCCCCCTAAGCCCCGCTCGCGGCTTGTCAGCTGGTCGTGGACCTCAGGCGCCCGCTCTTCAGAGGCCGGGCCCCGCCTGCGACGCTCGCAGCTCCTGGCGATCACAGGTGCGGGGGCGCCCCGGGTCCCTCTCCGTGTCGCCGCTGCATCCCGGCGATCGGCCGTTTCTCCGCTGCCCCCGAGTGGACACTGCCCCGGGGGTTGGGGGGACGCCAGGGTTCCAGGCTGACGTATCCTGCCCGCTCCCGCGGGGCGCGCGTGCCGCTGCCCACCCTGGCCGAGCTGTCACCGGCGCTGTCGCCTGCCCACCTGCGCCCCCCAGCGCCTGGCTTCTCCCGATCCAGGCGGCACGTTCCTGCTTCTGGAGGTTTCTGCGTGTGCATCCTCCCCATCATCTTCACTTTAGAGGCCGTGGTAGCGGTTCCCTCTCCTGCAGCACGTTTGCTTCTCCTCGTGCCTCCCTAGAGGCGGCGGCTTGGCAGGCGGCGTGGAAAGCCCTAGATTTGAAACAAGACTGACCCAGGCTCCAGACCTTGCGTCAGTGGGCTCGCTTAACCCCCCTTGAGCCTCCATTTTCTTATTTGTAAAATGGGGGCGCGTATGCTGTTCTTGAGGTCATGATTGTGAGGGTGAGGCGAGGCGGGGTTTTTTGTGGGTTTTTTTTTTTTTTTTTTTTTTTCACTCCTATTTGGTGACATTGCGTGTCGGGCAGGGGGCTGGGTTTGCACGGTGTACGCATCACACAGGTGATTCCTTCCCTTTCCCCACGCAGGTCTCCAGGCCAGGGCAATGTTTCGCACCGCAGTGATGATGGCGGCCAGCCTGGCGCTGACCGGGGCCGTGGTGGCTCATGCCTACTACCTCAAGCACCAGTTCTACCCCACTGTGGTGTACTTGACCAAGTCCAGCCCCAGCATGGCAGTGAGTTCCGGGCTCAGGGTGGGGGGGGGAATCTCCCTGGGTGGGGAGGCGGAGTCTGCTTGAGGCAGGGGCGGAGTTAGAGGTCAGGTAAGTGGGAGAAAGGCCAAATAGCCCGCTAGCTGCCTGCCTTTGAATTAATTGGGATGGGAACATTGGGGGGGGTTCCCGAATGAGGAGCCCCAGACATAGCAGAGCAGAAAGTGACCTCAAACCATAGTTTCTTCTCACTCCTAGGTCCTCTACATCCAGGCCTTTGTCCTTGTCTTTCTCTTGGGCAAAGTGATGGGCAAGGTGTTCTTTGGACAGCTGAGGGCAGCAGAGATGGAGGTAAGACGTTTTTGACTCCAAAAGCGAGGGGCAGGGAGCTGGACAAGCAGAGTGTCTTGAGGTCCTCATCATTCCTTGTCCACCCCCCAGCACCTTCTGGAACGTTCCTGGTATGCTGTCACTGAGACTTGTCTGGCCTTCACCGTCTTTCGGGACGACTTCAGCCCCCGCTTTGTTGCACTCTTCACCCTCCTTCTCTTCCTCAAGTGTTTTCACTGGCTGGCTGAGGACCGTGTGGACTTTGTGAGTTGGGTCGAGGGCGTTCTCCAGAGCAAATGGGAGCCAGGGATTGGCTTGGTGGGTGGGCTTGGGCAGTGAAGTCCGGGTTGGGGATGTGGGGTAAGCCCCGGCTTTCCTGATGGGCCCCCTTTCTGCTCTGCCTCAGATGGAGCGCAGCCCCAATATTTCCTGGCTCTTTCACTGCCGCATTGTCTGTGAGTGAGATCCCTGGGAGGGGAGGGGAGGGAGCTGGAGGGACGAGAGGCTCCGTGGACGATCAGAACATGACAAGTCACTAACCGTGGTCCTGTACCCTAGAGCACAGGCATCCCCCTTGACCCACAGCTGTACAGGAAAGATAAATTGGGAAGTTAATTTGCATCATCTCTGTCCTGTTCCACCCCAGGGCTCCTCAGCTGCCCAGCCCCGCAGCCCTTGGCCTCCTCACCTGGAGCTTGGGCCGCTCTAATACCCTCCTAGGCAAAACTGCAGTTCCCAGGGGGCTGGGGTCGGTGGAGTGTGGCGCCTGACTAGATGGCGAGGGCCATGGTGGGCCGGAGGGTGGGGTCTTAAAGCAGGAGGTGGCCATCAGGCCCGGTGCTGACCCCACCAACCCCCCATTTGGGGGGTCCCCACAGCCCTCATGTTCCTCCTGGGTACCCTGGACTTCCTCTTCGTCAGCCACGCCTATCACAGCATCCTGACCCGCGGGGCCTCTGTGCAGCTGGTGTTTGGCTTTGAGGTAAAACCGCCTGAGGTAGCACCGAACGTACCTCGAATAACCCAACAAACCCCTCCTGAGCACCTGTTCTGGGTCCGGGCTGGCCATCCGTCGGCATCAGCTCCCGCCTTGTACACACGCACACCCAGGAGAGCAGGAAAGTGCGGAGGGAGGCGCGTGGGGAGGAGCAGCTCCAACCTGGAGCCCTGGGAGGGCCTCCTGGACGTGGTGGCCCGAGGAGTGGGCTGCTGCCTGCCACAGGAATGAGCTTGACCAACAGCGGGGTGAGGAGGGGTGCTCGGTGCCAACGTTCCCACTGGTTGAGCGCTCACTTGGACGCTAGACCCTGTGCCGAGCACTTGACCTGTGGCTTTTCATCGGCAAAGGAATGTCGTTAGAAAGGGACAGTTAAGGGGCGCCTGGGTGGCTCAGTGGGTTAAAGCCTCTGCCTTCGGCTCAGGTCATGGTCCCAGGCTGCTGGGATCAAGCCCCAAATCCGGCTCTCTGCTCATCATGGAGCCTGCTCCCCCCACCCTCTGCCTGTCTCTCTGCCTACTTGTGATCTCTGTCAAATAAATGAATAAAATCTTAGAAAAAAAAAAAAAAAAGAAAGGGACAGTTAATTCTGTCATTGGACGGACAGGCTGCCAGGGTTGGAGAGGTCTGGTGAGTCACCAGAAGTCCCAGCAGCCCGGGAGTGGAGGAGCTGAGGGGTGACGCGTCCCTGTCCATCCCTGCACCCTGCCCTGCGGATGCCCGGCCCTAGCCGAATGTGGCTGCCGCCAGGGGGCGCCGTGTGCTGACGGCCCCCTCCTCCCGCAGTACGCCATCCTGATGACTATGGTCCTCACCATCTTCATCAAGTATGTCCTGCACTCCGTGGACCTCCAGAGCGAGAACCCCTGGGACAATAAGGCCGTGTACATGCTCTACACGGAGCTGTTCACAGGTGAGAAGAGCCTGGGCCTCCTGGACCTGGACCGGCGTCCCCAGCCCTGCCTCCCAGGCCCTGTGACTGCTGCTCTCTGCACTTCTCCTTGCCCCCAGGCTTCATCAAGGTTTTGCTGTACATGGCTTTCATGACTATCATGATCAAGGTGCACACGTTCCCTCTCTTTGCCATCCGGCCCATGTACCTGGCCATGAGGTAAGCCCAGCCCAGCCCTCCCTGCCCCCGACCCACACCTGATCCTCTGCCCCCCCTCACCCAGCCAGCGTTCACCGCACCTGGTCTTGCAGGCAGTTCAAGAAGGCTGTGACGGATGCCATCATGTCCCGCCGCGCCATCCGTAACATGAACACACTGTAAGTGGGCTGGACTGGCTGCTGTCCCGAGCTCTGCCCCTGGTTCCCCCGACTCCGCCTCTGGTCTTGACCTAACCTTGGCCTGTCCTCACTAGGTATCCAGATGCCACCCCAGAGGAACTCCAGGCGATGGACAACGTGTGCATCATCTGCCGAGAAGAGATGGTGACGGGGGCCAAGAGACTGCCCTGCAATCACATTTTCCACACCAGGTGGGGGGGGTGCCCAGGGAGCCTGACATTGGGGGAGAGGCTCTGGAAGGCTCTGGAAGGCTGCCCCCCGGGGATCTGCGGACCATCGCCTTATCTTCGTCCCCCTAGCTGCCTGCGCTCCTGGTTCCAGCGGCAGCAGACCTGCCCCACCTGCCGCATGGACGTTCTCCGGGCATCACTGCCGACCCAGTCACCTGCGCCCCCGGAGCCTGCTGAGCAGGGGCCACAGCCGGCCGCTCACCCCCCACCACTCCTGCCGCAGCCCCCCAACTGTGAGTGGCCCCCTCATTTGGCCATTCAGCACACCCTGTTCTGAGCTGGGTATGGGAAACAGGAGGTGAATCAGACTCCCTGTCCTCCAGGAACTCAGTCTGGGCAGGGAAGGGGGTCATAGGAAGAGACATCAAATGGCTTGTAGTCATGGGTCATCAGTGCTGGAAGGGGGTCATAGGAAGAGACATCAAATGGCTCGTAGTCATGGGTCATCAGTGCTGAGTTCAGACGGGCCCTTGGGAGCAAAGACAGGGTTCCTAACAGCCCCGCGGGTGGGACTTGCATCTGTCTCACTTGGATCTTCTCTCACTATCCTGTTCTCTCTCTGCAGTCCCCCAGGGCCTCCTGCCTCCCTTCCCTCCAGGCATGTTCCCGCTGTGGCCCCCGATGGGCCCCTTCCCACCTGTCCCACCTCCCCCCAGCTCAGGAGAGGCTGGGGCCCCTCCGTCCACCGGTGCAGGTGAGTCTTTCCAGGACTGCGACAGCCAAGGGGTGGGAGGAATGGAAGCGGAGGCCTCTTTTAACACTCTCCAAACTGTTCTTACCCTTCAGCAGCCCTTCCTCGGCCCAGTGCAGCCGCCACAACCACAGGGGCTGCTGCGGCCCCGGCCCCAGCCCCTGGCTCCGCCCCCGCCCCCGAAGGCGGCGCCGCCCCAGGCTTCCCCTTCCCTCCCCCCTGGATGGGCGTGCCGCTGCCTCCGCCTTTTGGTAAGCCGGGCCACAGGCGGGGTTGATGGGGAGGAGGGGTCGGTGGGACCCAGGCTGAGCCTCGGCCTCTCTCCAGCCTTCCCCCCCATGCCCGTGCCCCCCGCGGGCTTTGCGGGGCTGACGCCGGAGGAGCTGCGGGCTCTGGAAGGCCACGAGCGGCAGCACCTGGAGGCCCGGCTGCAGAGCCTGCGCAACATCCACACGCTGCTGGACGCCGCGATGCTGCAGATCAACCAGTACCTCACCGTGCTCGCCTCCCTGGGGTACGTCCGCGCCCGTCACGGAGGGCCCCCAGCCGGGGTTGCCTCGGCCCACCTATCAGTAGGCAGACCAGGGGCTCCAGGTTCTCAAGGCCTCTGCCCTCTTGCTGCAGAAGGCCTGCCTGGGTCTCAGGAGGGCTGACGGTTAGTAGAGCGTGGACTTCAAGTGCCGTTCTTTCAGGTTTTTCTAAAATTGGACGACTCCTAATTCTCAGTGCTTTCGTTCATCAGGGGGCCCTTCTCACAAGTGGTGACCCTGTGCCTTAGAACCACTGGCCCTGATCTGAGTCAGCAAATATAAAGGCCCCTAGAACCACCCCGCCCTAAGTTCAAGTCCTGGTCACACCACTCACTTGCCTGGAGACCACTATCGCCTTATTTTAATAAGTCCCGCCCATAGGTCACGTGCAGAGTGCCCAGCATGGGGTGGGGGGACCGCACAGGCTTGGCGGGGTGCTGGAGTCAGAGATTTGAGTGGGTTTTTTTTTTTTATTTTTTTTTTATAGATTTTTTTTTTTTTTTTAAGATTTTATTTGTCAGAGAGAGAGAGAGAGGGAGAGAGAGCAAGCACAGGCAGACAGAATGGCAGGCAGAGGCAGAGGGAGAAGCAGGCTCCCCGATGAGCAAGGAGCCCGATGTGGGACTCGATCCCAGGACGCTGGGATCATGACCTGAGCGGAAGGCAGCTGCCCAACCAACTGAGCCACCCAGGCGTCCCTGAGTGGGGTTTTATTCAGGGGAAAGTCTGCGGGTGTCCCTTGGAGCCTGGCACCCCGCAGTCTCAGAACGAACAATGCCACCACCAGTGCTCGCATGCAGGTGGCTTATGGCCGCTCTGTGGTGTGGGCCCACGAGGACTCCCACAGCATGTGTTCGCCTGTGTCTGCTGTTCCCTTGGGCCCCAGACGTCCTTCAGCGCTGATGCTACCCTACAGGGCTTATAAGGGGCAGACAAATCTGCCCAGTTGTGCCAGGATGTCAAGTCCTCACCTGCCCCTTCTCCTTCTCTTCTCAGACCCCCCCGACCTGCTGCCTCAGTCAGCCCCACTGAGGAGACTGCCCCGGCGGTGGTCACTGCTGCCTCCCCCACCAGCATCCCCAGCTCTGAGGCCACCACCCCCTCCCCTGGAGCCTCCCCACCAGCCCCTGAGCCTGAAAAGCCTCCAGGTAGTCTCGGTCAGCCTGGGGGTTGGGATGGGGAGTGGGGAAGGAACTTCTCTCGGTTCCACTTCTGAACTCTGTCCCCAGCTCCTGAGTCACTGGGCACGGAGGAGCTGCCTGAGGACGGGGAGCCTGATGCAGCAGAGCTCCGCCGCCGCCGCCTGCAGAAGCTGGAGTCCCCTGTTGCCCACTGACACTACCCCAGTCCTCCCCCTGCCTCCACTCTCTCGGGCAGCCCTTGCTGTAACACGTCCTGCCACCAAGTGCCCGCTCCCTCTCCGTGTGCACCAGGGAGTAACGACCCCCAGCTCTGAGAGAAAGGAGGAGGCATCCCCTAGGCCAAGTGGAAAGACGCCTGAGGCCCCAGTTGACTCCAGCCCTTCCAGTCCCGGGCAGCCATGGGGATCTTGGGTCCATTCCAGCCTCCCTCACCCCCCCTTCAGCCTGTTCTGCTGGGGCCGTGAAGGCAGGAAGGCAGTCTCTGAGAAGCCCTCTCCCCCTCCCCCCTCTCTGGGAGAAGGGGCAGCCCCTCCAAGGCCCACCTGTGTGTGTGTGTGTGTGTGTGTTTGTGTGTTTGTGAAGTCGCTTCTGTGCTAAACAGTATTAGCGCCCCGATCCCATGTGGGAACTTAAGGGGCTGGAGGCAGGCCAGGAACTTGCTCCCTGGGCCACCCACCAAGATTGGTACTGCTGTCCCTTTTCTTATGCTAAACTCCCTAGAGGCCCTTCGTGATGGTGGCTGTGTCACTCATGCCCTGTGGTGTTTCCGTGTCTTACTGGCAACCGCCCAGCTCAGGGAGAGGCCTGTCAGAGGAGCAGGGGGGCAGCACTGAGATGCCCTGCCCCTCTCCCCAGGGCCCCTTCTCCCTGCGGTCTATCAAGTGAGACCATTCCTGATCTCACCCAGCAACCACTGCCCAGCCTTACGCCAGGCTGAGGGCCCGTGCGTCCGCTCCTGAACCACTGCAGGCCCCAGAATCTGTGGAAGCCGCTTCTGGACTCACAGAATGTCTCTCGGGTTCAGAAGAATTGGAACTACTTCCCTGCTGTTGTCTTTTGGCTTAAATTTTGTCTTTGAACTTGAATGCTTGACCCTAGGAAAGAGGAGCAGGAGTGTCTGGCTCCTGGTCTTTCCAGTTTAGAAAAGGCACTGGGCCAGGTAGGGACCACAGGAGCTGAGGCCGGCCTGCCCTTGTCTTTTTTTTCCCCTCAGTTCTGTGTTACAAGAGTTGCTGGAGACCGTTTCAGATGATTATTTAATTTGTAAATATTGTACAAATTTTAATAGCTTAAATTGTATATACAGCCAAATAAAGACTCGCCTTAGTGACTGGTAGAGCTGGGTTTCATGGGAACAGCATGCCAGGCTGCTGCTGCTTGCTTGGGCTGTCGACTTGAGAATCCCCAGGGGCATGGGTTTCGTTAGACAAGTCATTAACTGTTACGGAGCTATCCCCATTTTCCATATGAAGAAACTGAGCCCCAGAGAAATTCAATTCCCTGCCTTAAAGGACAAGTAGGGGAGCCAGGCTTTGAGGGTGGGAACTCAGGCCTCTGACCTTTGTAACTCCCTAGGATGGGGCAAGTGTGAAGGTTCATTGGCTGGGGGGTGGGACGGGATGGCAGGGGCAAAAGGCCAGCATCTTTCTTCCTGCAGAGCCCCTGTCTAGCCTTGATACCAGGCCACCAGGGAAGGCAGGCTGGCTCTGCCCGACTGCTGGGAGCTCCAGAGCACCCCCTTGTGGACGCACCAACTCAAGCTAATCACTCAGCATCCCGGAGCTGGAGATGCAGTCACGCCCAACTCTCCCAAGAATGGAGCCCAGGCAAGGGGCCTTCTACTTCTCCACGGGTAAAAGGAATGAGTTCAGGGGCTGACCAGGGCCCTCTATGCCTATGCCCCGTGGTGACTTTACTCGGAGCTGAAGACCTCCGGGAACCACGCCCAAGTCCTGTGTGTTCTCCACAGCCGCCACCGAACCAGGTCTGGCCCAGAGCAAGGGCTTGAGAGCTCTACAGCAGTGAGGGTGTGAAGGCCAAGGAAGACACGTTCTCAGTGGGTCTACTCTGCGCTACCCGCCCCTCAACTGGGTTGGGCTGTTACTTCCACCAGTCAACAACCTCCAGAATCTGAACAGTGAGCCCAGTGAGCTCCACCAGAGGCAGGGGCCCCACCGGCAGGCAGCTCTCCCCACTGCGGGCATCTGTGGAGAGGGTCACGTTCCCCCTCAATGTGAGCGAGGCCTGCTCTGAAGCCCTTTAGCCTGGCTGCGCCCTGCCCAAGCTCTTAGCCCTGGCATTTATACCTTCTGTCCTAGTTGCTCCAACAGCCACCTCACTCCTCCCGAGACCCCACCCCCCCAGACTCTAGTCTGGTGGGGATGCTATCATGCAGGCTGCTTGGCTGGGCCTCAGAAGCCCTTCTCCAGGAGCCAGGCTTTGAGTTGCTGGTCGAAGTAGCCCTTGACGCGCAGGGTACCTGTCACCTCATTGACCTGGGTGACCGGTGTCTTCCCCAGCAGTGGACTCAGAAAATCTTCCACATCTTTCTGCAGGGCCTGAGGGGGAGAGGGAGGACGATGACACATCAAGCCTGGTCAGACAATCCCCTCTTATAAGACTCCCATCCCTCCAGCCCCGAAAGGGTTAGTATCAGCCCCCAACCCATGTCCTCACTTACCCAGATGTCCCCCTCCACCTTCCGGATGACAGTCATCTGGCGGTTGCCATGTGTGATGTCCTTGTAGACAGGGATGTTGTGCATTCGAGAGCGCCGCACCAAGTAGGGCAGGTTGGGTGGGGGGTCTGTTACATGCAAGAACAGTGAGAAGCCAAATATCCCCAGGCTTTATGCCCCCTCAGCTGATGCCCTTCCCCAGTGTACAGAGAAATCAGTGCACCCGATGGTAAAGCCACCTCTTGATCTCAGGTCAGAACAACGGCTCTTTCCCTAAACTGAAGCCAAGACCAGCTGCTTTGCCCTGGTAACCTCCCAGGCCTAGCACAGGGCCTGGCAGTAGAAGATGCTCAAGAAGAAACGAAGTTAGAGCCATGCCTCCCTGTATCTTTAGGTCCCCATCTGGGGCCAATCTTTGCACTTCTCCCCTGGGTCAGGGAGGCTAATAGCAATCTCTGACACAAAGAAATGGGGATTTACAGCACTGAACACCTGCCTACCACATGCTGGGCTCTGTATTAAGTGTTTTATGTACCAAGCAGATTATCTCCATCTTGCTGAAACTCCATATGGGAGAAGCTAAGTGACCAACTCGTGATCACACTGGCAATGAACAGCAGAGCCAAATTTGAACCCAGAAATGCCCAACTCCCAAGCTGTGTTCTCAAAGATGGTACAAGGTCTACTACTGGGGTGGGAGTGGGGGTCCCAACTCTTAGGTCTTCTCTCTATGCTTCACTTCTCCGGAATGGGAAGACTTCATCCCAACAGTGTGGATGGATGGGTACCAGTAAAATAGGGCTGCCTTCCCAGGCCCTTCCTTTAACACGAGACAGATGCTAAGCCCTGAGACACCTCTACACGAGTCCTGAACCCACTGGGGAATCCAGAGCCTCAATTGGGGAGGTAGACCAGTAGGGAGAGGAAGGTTTCCCCCTATAAACCTCAAGCCATCCCGATCGCCCAGCTCACCTCTGGGTGGCTGCCAACCACTGGGAGTGGGATAGTGTTCATGCTTCGGTGGCTTTGGGATGCTGGTAGGGGGTAACAGGCGCTCCACAAAATGGTATTCATCCACAGACTCCACAAAGCTGGGGTAATCAGGAGGCTCCTGGGTTTGGCTCTGAGGCCAAAAACAAAAACAAACAACAAACAACTATGAGCCCACCCACTACACACCCACCCATCAAAGGAGAGGTCACAAGTAGGCAGAGAGGCCGGCAGAGAGAGAGGGAGGGAAGCAGATTCCCCGCTGAGCAGAGAACCCGATGCGATGCCGGGCTGGATCCCAGGACCCTGGGATCATGACCTGAGCCGAAGGCAGAGGCTTTAGCCCACTGAGCCACCCAGGTGCCCCAAATAAATAAATAAATAAATAAAATCTTGGAAAAAAAAATGTCAATTTACTGTAAGTCTGACCGACTAAAATTTTTCAGTATTTTTTAAAGCTTCCTCTAAACGTTCTACTGAAATATTCTAGTTCTGGATTAGGCACTTTCAGCAATCGTGATAATCCCACTCACAATCACCGGATGTGACCCTCGCTTACCTGGAACATTCTGGCCTCATATAAACACCCCCAGGCAATGGATGGACTAAATGTATTACGGGTATTTTGACTGAATTCTTACAATGGCACAAGTTAGGTATTTTACTACCCCCTTTTTCCATGTAGGAAAAATTAAGACATTAACAAACCATCTACCTAAGGTAACTTTCCGCAAACTGTCCTCCCATTCTCCAGCCTGAAGAATCTTTTTGGACACTTTTCCCAAAAGATACCCTGGAGTCCTGATAGGCCCGGGGTTACGAGAAAAGGGAAGCAGATTGGAGTGGACTGTATATCATGAACTCTAGGTTCCCATTACTGTCGCCAATAATCTGGGGCCGACCCCTACCCTGTGGAACGTTATCCCTTTTAAAAAATTAGCCGGAGTCGATGGGCAGCCCCTCCCAGTTCTGACTAACCCAAATGGTCCACCAATCAGGTTCTAAGCCCCAAACACCGAGGCGCACTACAGGTCTTGCACCTTGCCTCTATCTCGTATCTGAGCTCCAGGGTTACAGGAGTAACAGTGAGACTCAACGCAGCACTCTACTCCCCATCTCCAGGCTCAGCGTTCTCACCAGCTGCCGTAGCCCGCAGCCCCGCTGGACGCCGGTTCTCCATCCTCTCAGCGTAGCGCGGAACATGGCCGCTGCCATCTTGAACTTCTCCCGTCCACCGGTCTTCTGCGCGCGCAACCGGCCAGGTCCCTCCCCTTCGTGGGCGCGCTCCCGGGACCGAAAGAACGCTTGCGCAAAGCGTAAAGAGGCGGAGCTAGAACTGCTGTGGGCGGTACAAAAGCCAAAGGCTCTAGCGGTCGCCCAGCAGTGACGTGGCACGCAGCAGGCGGTGTGGACGTGCGCGCCCCTGCTTCTTCCTCTTTCTCGACTCCATCTTCGCGGGAGCGGCTACGGTGCCCGCGGTTCAGGTAAGATTTGGGTCACCGCTGGATCTGGAGAGCCTAGTAGTAGGTGGGCCGCGAAGTCAGAGGGCGCGGGAAAAACAGGGGGAGAGGGTGTGTTCTGAGGGCCAGCTTCCGGTCCCCACCCGACCTCCCTGGCAGGCCCGGCCTTACCCACGTGAGATTCCGCGACCACCTATATTCCAGCGCGATCGGTGCCGGCCCGCTGCCTTCCCCCGACCCCCTTTCTCCCAGAACATTCTTCTCTTACGAGCCATTCTTTCGTCAGTCGCCAACATGCAGCTCTTCGTCCACGCCCAGGAGCTACACACCCTCGAGGTGACCGGCCAGGAGACGGTCGCCCAGATCAAGGTAAGGCTGCGTGGTACTTCCTGGGCACCGTCCTTTTGTGTTCTTCAGTCTCGCTCCGCGGGAACGCTGATGAGCCTTATTTTACCGTAGGCTCGTGTAGCCTCGCTGGAGGGCATCGCTCCTGAAGATCAAGTCGTACTCCTGGCAGGCACGCCCCTGGAGGATGAGGCTACCCTAGGTCAGTGTGGAGTGGAGGCACTGACCACCCTGAAAGTAGCCGGCCGCATGCTTGGAGGTGAGTTGGGGAGCATTGTACTTTGAAATGGCTGTAAACTTATAATACGAGTGTAGGGTGTGGGGTTCAGTGTCCTAACCCCAGGGTGGTGGTTCCTGTTTATCTTCCTCATTAAGAGGTCCATGGGAGACTGAGCCGGAGCCTAGCTCTGTTTCAATTACTTATTAGCCCCTTGTTTGCTCACTGAAATGAAGTCCGACTGGATTTCTCAAGGTGCTTTTCAGTTCTTGTTTAAAGTCGGGCTGGAAGATACTGAAGTGAAACCCTGGAACATATTGTACTAAACACTCTTGGTCAGAGGTCATATCTCTGCACCTTTGTTCTCAGCTCCTGTTGGTCCCTGTTTATTTTTAAAGGCTTGAGTTGAGGAAGAAAGGATTCTGCCCGGTAGGGCCTTCTTGCTCTCCTGTGTTCTGACCTCCTTTCCCACCACAGGTAAAGTCCATGGTTCTCTGGCCCGTGCTGGGAAAGTAAGAGGGCAGACTCCCAAGGTAGGTGACCGTATTAGTGGTGTTATTTAGAGTTTGGGTTTTTGTTTTTTGTGTGCAGGTTTGGTTTTGTTTGTTTGTTTTTAAGCTAAGCCAAGACCTTTGGTCTTTCCTCTGTTTGCCTTCTCCCTCCTTGGAGGTAAGACTGAGGGATGGTATGGGAGGTCTGATTATCCTCCCCTTTTCCCAGGTGGCCAAACAGGAGAAAAAGAAGAAGAAGACAGGCCGAGCCAAGCGGCGGATGCAATACAACCGGCGCTTTGTCAACGTTGTGCCCACTTTTGGCAAGAAGAAGGGCCCCAATGCCAACTCTTAAGTCCGTTGTAATCCTGGCTCTCCCCCAATAAAGGCTCTTAGTTCAATCATTTCATTGTTTCATCTTAACATGCAGGGAGGGCCTCAGGAAGATACTTGTTTGGGTATCTTCTAGGGCTGGTGGTGTGTTCATTAGAACAGTGAGGCCTGGTTCTGGTTTCTTGGCACTGTCAGGTTGGAAGAGACGGGCCTTGGGTTGGGGAAGCAGTGGTAAACTGTAGGGAAAGGGTTACCATGAAAATTGGTAACTCCAGATGGCAGCTCTTCAGATGGAAATTGGGGGAGACTTCCTAATCCAAATAACTTGATAAGTCTCCCAAATCATTTTTTACTGCTTTGGTTTTTTGTTTTTAATATTTTATTTATTTATTTGACAGAGATCACAAGTAGGCAGAGAGAAGGAAACAGGCTCCCCGATGAGCAGAAAGCCCAATGCGGGACTTGATCCCAGGACCCTTGAGATTATGACCTGAGCTCAAGGCAACGGCTTAACCCACTGAGCCACCCAGTCACCCTTGTTTTTTGTTTTTTTTTAAGGTTTGTTTTTGTGTTTTTGTTTTTGCTTTTGTTTTTAAGATTTTATTTCTTTATTTGTCAGAGAGAACACAAGCAGGCAGAGTGGCAGGCAGAGGCAGAGAGAGAAGCAGGCTCCCCGTTGAGCAAGGAGCCTGATGTGGGACTTTATCCCAGGACCCTGGGATCATGACCTGAGCCCAAGGCAGCGGCTTAACCAACTGAGCCACCCAGGCGTCCCTGTTTTTTAAGGTTTATTTGAAAGGGAGCAGGGGAAGGCAGAGGTGGAGAATCTTTGCAACACACCCCCCCGCCCCGGCTCCATCCCAAGCATGGGGTTCTACACAGAGCTCCATCTCAAGATCTGAGCTGAAACCAAGTCAAGACATTTAACTGAATAACCCATCCAGGCACCCTGTTCTTGTTCTTCAAACAGAGGAGATAAGAATCCTTGTTGTGGGAGGATTATGGAGGCATCAGCAGAGAAATTTGGGTAGAAGATACATCAGGGAAGGACGGTCTGACTTTTCCTGAACTTGGAACCAGCTATGGCCTTAGTGGAGTCCAGGGCACAGGTCCAGTATGTCCCTACTTGAGAAAATATGGGCCACCCCTATTGGGGGGAAGTCAGCGGTGCAGGCCCTGAAAGAGAATTCACCCAAGGCAGAACAAAGGAGATGAAATTTATTGAATACACAGCAAAAGAGCAGCGGGCAGGACAGCAAAGGAGAGACTGCCAGGAGGCAGTGGTCGGGGGGCTGAGGTTAAGGGGGAGGGGGAAGAGTTAAGGGACCTTGTGGAACTTTACTTTTTTTAGTACCTGTGCATGGTTGTAAGCAGCCTGTTGCTCAGCTAGGACCTACAGCTATTTCGAGGTGGACCTGTTTGCAGTCAGCCCCGTGGCGGCTGTAGGCCCTTTTATTTTACCTTACTGGGACTTCATTGCCCATGCCTGTTCTCTGAAAGTGGCTGTCACAGAAAGCCTTGCCTGATGACCTTGGCATGATGGTGACCTTGTTTGTAGCTCCACCTGTCTGGCTAACTTCATTAATGAAATCACAGCTCAGGTTGGTGGGTTGGTTGGTAGTGTTCCTGGGAGTGGATTCTCTGGGCTTGATTCAGAGTTCCCCTAGCAACACGGGTACCTACCCATTTTGTGAAGGTTTTCGAACCTGCTGGTTCTCGAAATACAGTATAACATGAGGTGAAGACCTTGTATCTAGACTTGGACTGCCTTAAGTTTGAATCCTTGCTTCATTTATTTTCTGACTCGCCAAACTTAAAATGACTTAATTTCTGCTCTCATGTCTTGAGAGTTGTGAAGAATATAAAGGATGTGAAGGTCTTAGATCACCTGCCACATAGGAAGTGTGCAAGGCTACAGGCTCTTTTTATCTCTAGTAATCTTTAGGAAAAGTCAGTCACCTCCCTTCTAGACATTTGATTCTTGTGGGTTAAGTGAAGAAGATAGTTAAGTGGTAGAGTCTCAAAGAAAGTAAGGAGGGTGTTGCAAAGAAAGAGGGAAGGTTGGGGATGGACTGTGTGCAAAGGTGTGTGGTTTTGTCAGACCTGAACAGGAGTTCGGTTTTGAGTCCAAGTGCAACGGAGGGTCACCAAGGACAGGGAAGGGTTTAAGTAAGGGCCTGATGTGATCTGACTTGTGATCCAGTGCTTTGTCTGGCTGGTTTCTCTGAACGGCTGGCAAGAAAGGGAACCAGATAAGGAACTAGAAACTGAAACTGCCAGTAGTAATGGAATGTGGAAAACAAGCGGACTTGAAGGTCTTCAAATCCATCCAGATCTTGATAGATGATCCATAAGGAGATAAATACAAGGGATTGTGAAGGCAGAACTTACTGGGGGTGGGACTAAAGAAACAGCTCTCTTTTCATGGGTGCGATGGTCCAAGTCCTGGGGGCCCTAGCATGGTTTGTGTGGGTTACCCCCCACTCTACAAACTAAGCTTCTTCAGGACAGGGACCCCATCTCTTTGCTGCTCAGTGTGTTTCTGGCACCCAGTATGGATTCTGCACTTTAAAATTGGACGAACGATAGATTTGGAGGGGAAATCAAACAGGAGTTCAGATACCTGTTAAAAAAAGTTTCTTCTCAAGAGGGGAAATGCCTCCAACACACACATACAGAGTCTAGACCAAGGAGTCCATCTTCACCCTTTTTCTGCACCCCCCTTTGTGTCTGTGTCCCCTAGTAGAATAGCTGCCCTTCCAGTGGAGGGAGGCATCGCATCCCCCATAGGCCTGGGGCACTTAGGGGCCTTTGAGGGGATGCTTCGAGAAGATCCATTTCCGCCAGGTAAAGCACCGTGCTTCAAGGGAACCACTAGGGGGCGAGCTGGTACCAGCGAAGCGAGGGCCTCGGGCACCGGCCCTCGCTCCCTCACCGCGCAGGGCGAGGCCGGTGCGTCCCGACCCACTCCTGCGCCTCCTCAAGAGCTATTTGACAGTGGGGGCGGGGCTTGGCTTCCGAGGGTAGGCGGAAGTTGCCGAAAGGGCTCGGGGGCTTTACGCTCCGTCGGCCTCGCAAGGAGGCGGAAGTAACCGATTAGCACCGGAAGTTGTCCGGGGCTGCCTGCGCTTGTTCGCAAGTGCGCGGGGCGCCAGTTGCCATGGAGCCGGCCGGGCCTTGCGGTTTCTGCCCGGCCGGGGAGGCCCAGCCCGCGCGCTACACCTGCCCGCGCTGTAACGTGCCCTACTGCTCGCTGCGCTGCTACCGGGCGCACGGCACCTGCGCCGAAGACTTCTACCGGGACCAGGTGCTGGGAGAGCTCCGCGGCCGCAGCGCCTCACCCAGCCGCCTGGCCGGCGCCCTACGGCGGCTGCGGCAGCAACGCGAGACCGAGGATGACCCCGAGGACGCGGGCCTCAAGCCTGGCCCGGCGCCAGGTGGCCTCACCAGGCTCTGGGAGCTGCTGGCGCCGGCCGAGAAGGCGGCCTTCGAGCGGCTGCTGAGCCGTGGCGAGGCCGGGCGGCTGCTGCCCCCGTGGCGGCCGTGGTGGTGGGGCCGCGGGGCCGGGCCGCGGCTTCTGGAGGAGGTGGATGATGCCGCGGGCCGTGACCCTACGGAGCTGGAGCCCACCCCCGCGAGGACCCCACCGGAACCCGCGAAGGAAGCCGCCGCCGAGCCGTTTCTCGAAGACGCTCCCGAGGCCCGCTCGCCCACCGTGCCCTCCCGGATCCCCACGCTGGCCAGCCTGAGCCGCAGCCCGCCCTCGCCGCTCGTGCGCTTCCAGCTGCCCAACGTGCTGTTTGCCTACGCGCACACTCTTGCCTTGTATCACGGCGGCGACGATGCGCTGCTCTCCGACTTCTGTGCCACGCTGCTTGGCGTGTCGGGAGCACTGGGTGTGCAGCAGGTCTTTGCCTCTGCCGAGGAAGCCCTGCAGGCCGCAGCCCAGGTGCTCGAAGCAGGCGAGCATCCTCCCGGGCCCCTGGGCACACGGGGCGCCATGCGCGAAGCTGCCCGCATCCTGATGGGCGAAGGCCCGGCAGACCAGAAGGGCTACACGCTGGCAGCACTGGGGCACCTGGCACAGACCCTGGGCCGGGCCCGGAAGCAAGCCGTGACCACAGAGGAGCGAGATCGCCTCTACCGGGCGCGGAAGAAGTGCCAATTCCTATTGGCTTGGACCAATGAAAATGAGACGGCCCTCACGTCGCTGGCTCTGGACTGTGCCAGGGCCCATCGAGCCCATGCTGTGGCAGCGGAGGAGGTGGCAGCCCTCACCGGGGAGTTGGAGCGGCTTTGGGGAGGCCCCTTGCCACCTGCGCCAAGAATTCTCATCAAGGAACTCCCGGGCTGATCTGGGATCTCCCTGTCTTTAATAAAGCTGTGACTGGTCTGCCCTGTCAGCAGTGCCTGCTTCTGACCCACAGCTGCTGTCCACCCGCCCCACCCCCGGCATCCCCAGACTCTCAAGCCCAAAAGCCACCTCTCAGCTTGTCCTGGATCCGAGCTGACCCAGCCAATTTTTAAACACCCTGGCCCCAGAAAGGGAGGGAAGTGGTACCATGGCTTCCAGATGTTTATCCAGGAGGAAGAGCAGCGCCTCCACTCCCATTGTTGGGCACTGGCTGCATTTCTTCTTGCTCCAGAGCCCTTGTCCCAGACTGTTCGTCCCTGCTTGCTGGAGCTCAGAGCGGCTCAGAGCCCAGGCTCCCGGTGCTGGCTGCACTGACAGACGGGTGGGCACCTGCCCTGCCTGGGTGAGCAGAGCCGCTTCAGTAGACGTAGGGCAGGATTCGGTAAGGCACGCGCCGGCAGTACTCACGCCAGGCCAGGCCGTACTTCCGCAGGCACTGCTGCTCGTCCCGGGCCTCGCGGTGCACCAGCAGTGCCGTGAAGTAGAGGACATAGAAGTAGGGCAGCAGGTGGGACACTCCTGTGGGGAAGTGGAGGCTGTGACCGCCCAGCAGCCCCCCAGTTCACAAAGGTTTCCCCATCAAATGGCTCACAGGGACACGGGCTCCTTTGGAAGGTCTGCAGCACGGTGCTGGCTCGCAAGCCTGGCATGGAGGCCCGCCCCCTGCCACTCACGGAGTCCTTCCCAGCTCCCTGACCCCTCCCTCTGCTAGGGGATGGGACATCCCCGTTCTCACCTCCGCACCCAGACGGGGCATCCTGTGGTCACCACCTCTGTCCCCCTCATGTGTGGTCCCCATCCCGTGCCCCCCCAAGCCACTCACCACAGGGCAAGGACCAGGCCAGAGCCATGATGAGGTCTCCAAGGTAGTTGGGATGGCGGACCATACCCCACCACCCAGACACCAGCAGCTGTCGCCCCGTGGCTGTGGGGATGGTCTCAAGGCCTGGGGGAAGACAGGGAGTGGGATGGGGGAACCGGCAGGAGGCCAGCTACACTGCTTCGCTCATGGCTTCCTGGCAGCCCAGCTCACCAGCCACTCTGGGGTCAGAAGGGTTCTTCCGGAAGGTGTTCTTCTGGGAATTGGCTCCCCTGAAGATGTAGTAACCAACAGCTAGGGGAAGGCATGGGCAAGTGGTCAGGGTCGAGGTTTAGAGCCTTCTAGGTGACCCTGACCATCCACCCGCAGCCCAGACTCCATTCGCCTGGAGACCTAGGACCCAGCCCTTCCCCCACACACACCCCCATCCCCACCCCTGTGTTAGAGGAGCACCTGAGGCTTAGTATCAACAGGGTGCTGAAGAAAAGGCAGGAATGAATGAAAGGGGGAGGAGCCCCGTCCTGACTGACCATTCATGAGGCAGATGACGGAGGCCATGGGCAGCCCCAGGGGCTGCGGGTGGTGGAGCAGGAACTGGGCCTGCAGGCTGTAAGTGAAGGGGACCCACGCCAGGTCCCCAAAGGCCAGCATGAAGCCAAACCCGTCGTGCGTGATGTCCATGGTGGTGAGGACGGCCTCCTGCAGGGATGGGACCCAGACACACCCGCTTAGTCCCCATGAGGTCCTCAAATCCCTCCCGGCCTCTTCGCCCGGTCCAGCCTCACCTCGTGCCAGAGAGCATCGGCCACATAGAGTAGCTGGAAGCCATTGACCAGCCACATGGCCAGTGAGGGAGTCCCCCGAAGCTCCGCTTCCTGCATCAGCAGGCCCAGGTTGATGAGGACCTGGGGACATGGGAGAGGGGGGACAGGGCAGTCTGTCTCCAGCCCGCCTCCACGGAGGGGGCAGCACCTGGGGGGGCAGTGGCCAGCCTTTCCCCTTATCTCTCTCTCGGCTCTCGGCCACTAAGTCCTTGGCCCTTTGCTGAATGGATCCAGCCCCTGTACCCGGGGCAAAGACTGCCACGGTTGCTTCCAGAGGGGCTCCCTGCCCATGGGCTCTCGCCTTGTCCTGTAATGTTCCTTTGAGGAGAGCAACATAGAAAGCCACTGGACACGTCAGGCTTGGTTTTAAATCTCCGCTTTCCCACTTGGGCAAGTTGCTTTCCCTCTCCAAAGGCTCCTTCCCCCCACGCCATGTGGTAAATGGAGTTAATCATGAACCTGCCTCACGTTGCTGTTGGATTTGTTGACACGAGGCATGTTCCTGGCTCACAGTAAATACACATGAGTAAACCCCTTCTGGTAGCGCTGGGTTGGCGCTGTCACTAACGTCACCACTTCTAACCCTCACCAGAACCTTCGCAGGAAGTTCTCACTTTATCCCATCTTACATGTGGGGAAATCGCCTTGGAGGCCAGGGTGCAGATCCACGGTGGACCCTTGGCCTCCTCTCACCTCTAGTCTCCAGGGTGACATGAGGGACGTTGCCCGAGACCCTTGGGGAAGCTGTGACCACAGTCCAGCATGGGTGATTATAACCCATAACCACAGTTGGCATGTCCTCAAGGCCACTAGTGATGGACAGCTTGCTACGCCCAATGATCAGTCTCAAGTTCTACGCCACTAGGACCAGCAGGTGGCATAGCATCAGCCTCTCCTGTCCTCAAAATTGAGTTTGAGCTTGATTTATTTAAAGTCGCACCTGCTCACCTAACTCCCTCCATGCTTTTTCTCCCTAGCACATAGCACCCCTGCCGTGCTGTACAGATTTCACTTATGTTTTGTCTGTTTTTCCTCGAGTGTAGGCTCCGTAAGGACCGAGTTTTGTTTTTTGGGTTTTGTTTTTTTGCTTTCCTATAACTTTCTTTCTCTTTTGTCTCCTTGTACCTGGAGTAGTGTCCAGGGCACTCAACCAGTATTTGTGGGATGAATGATTAATGGTTTTTATCTGTGCAGTAGTGGACCGGCCCTGCCCTGCTCAAACACTGCTTCCCCACCCCGCCCCTCCTCCTGGCCCACATAGCCATGCCTAGCATACCCAGCCGATGAGGCCAGGCCGCAGTTCACAGAAATATTTGAAGTCGAAGGACCAGATGCGCGGGTTGAGCTCCCGTCCCAGGAAGAAGTCATAGATGGGATTGCCTGGAGAACAACGGAGCCTGAAGACGCGAGCGAGCACCCCCATCTGCTTCTGTCTGCACCCTACTGGGACCCCTCTCACCTGAGTTCCCCCCAGGCGCCAGGGCTGAGGCAGGGGCCACCAGAGCCTTCAGATAGAGAAGGAGGCTGAAGATGAAGGCCGTGAGGGTGGCTGCAAAGGCCAAGGGCAGGAGCATTTCTGGGAGCGCCCCCAGAGGCAGCCCGGCGCACACAGCCAAGCCCACCAACAGGGCTGTCAGCACCAGGGCCTGGAAGCCTGAAACCAGTACACAATGAATCCTGGGGGCTGCGCCTCTACACCTGTGCCCTCGACCCCCGCCCCCCCGCAACACACAGACACAGTCCAAAGCCCAAGGAGGTCAATGACCTTGCCCTTGGCTTTCAGGGGGTCACCCCAACCACTGCTCTGGTGCATAGAGTAAGAGCAAATGCTGCGGGTAGGTGTGGAAGAACAAGGGACATGGAGAGGGACACTGAATCCCCCAAGGCTACCCCGGGCACACAGCGTAACACAGGCATCTAACGGAGCTTGGGGTTGGGGGCTAAACTCCACTGGGTCTAGAGCTCCACCCCCACCAGCACAACTCCAGCGCGGGGATCCATCCCCCCACCCCCTCGACCATGCACCGTTAATGGGGTAGCGCAAGCGACTCTTGTCCTTCAGTTCCTGTCCCTCCGCCACCTGTGAGCACAAAGAGGCTCTGATAAGGGGTGAGAGTGAACCCCCTCCCTCCGCCCGCCTCCCCCGAGAGCCGAGTCCACACCTTGCGCGCCGGCAATAGGTAGAAAGCCGCCTGAAGGCCGAGCCAAGTGAGCCACAGCAGCAGCATCTGCGGGCTCCACAGCACTTCGGGCCCCGGAAGGTAGGGGGGTAGGCCCAGGAGGCGCGCCGGGCCCGAGCGGGCCACCAGGAGCAGGTGGAACATGGTGGCAGGAAGCAGCAGCATCAGCGCCGCGGCGCCTGGAGACGCGGGGGCGATCGCGTCGGGCGTCCGTTCCGCAGCGGTCCACCAGGGCCCCCTCCGCATTCCCACTGCCCAGGACCCCTCAGGGCCCCCCACCCACATTCCCACTGCCCTCTTCCATACCCCGTTCTCAGCCCTCAGCCCTTTCCCTTCCATCTTGAGCCCCGCCCCCTTGCTCCCCCGAAGATCCTCCCGCTCTCGGTGCAATCCTCCACAGATCCGGTGCTCTGCAGCCCCTCCCCAGACCCCCGCAACCCCCAGATCCCTCTGCCTCTGGACACCCTTCAAAGCTTTCCATTCTCAGATCCTGCTCCTCTGCCCTGCCCCCCGCAGCCGTTTGCAGTTCACCCCACTTCGCTGAGCCTGACCCCAGATTCCACCCTTGCCCCATTACCCAAGGGTCCCCCGAATTCCAGGGGAGGCCGGGAGCCCTGAAGAGAGGCCATGGTCTCCGCTCCACCGCGGGGGGAAGGGGTACACAAGAGTCCGTCAGAGAAACACAGTCCACCTCATCCGGAGGACATGAGCCTGGTGACGCGGGGTATCAGACCGCTACACAGGAACCTGCTTGGTCCCCGCTCTCGGACTACCACCACTGGCGTCCCGAGGTCTTTAAATGGCCCCACCCCCGGCCCATCCTGGGCCCAGCAATCCAGCCAATCAGCTCGGGGGGCGGGTCGGCTGCGGGCGCCTCCCGAGCCACCTCACAACTCCACCCCGAGCCGGCCCTGCCCCCGCGAGCCAGAGGGAGGAGGAGATAACACGTCTTTATTGCCGGGTCTGGAGGCCGGGAGGGGAGGGGGCCGCGGACGCACTGGAGACCGGGGGATGGGGAGGTTGGGGCGACAGCGCAAGCCCGCGCATGGCAGCGGCCCCGCCTAGCCCCGCTCGCAGATGACCTCGACGACACTGGGTTCCATGGGCACTGGGTCCGGGCAGCGCAGGGCGGCCGAGGCCACCACTTCATCTAACAGCAGGTGCA